CTCATGTGTATAGACAGAATTCCTGTATATGTAAGTGACCAAAAATGGAAGTATAATAGTATATAGATAGCTTTATTTCTGCTGCTCAGAATACTCTCAGTGCTTTTGGAGGCTTTTTTTTTTTTTTCTAATTTAGAAACCCCTGAGTTTCAAGCAAGAGCTGTTAGGGGTATTAATTTTGAAGAGTATTCCTAGGTACCATGTCTTTCAGTAAGTGAAATTTGCAGCCGTAGTCAAGTCTTGCATTGTATAGACAGAATTCCTGTATATGTAAGTGACCAAAAATGGAAGTATAATACTATTGGATAGCTTTGTTTCTGCTGCTCAGAATACTCTCAGTGCTTTTGGAGGCTTTTTTTTTTTTTTCTAATTTAGAAACCCCTGAGTTTCAAGCAAGAGCTGTTAGGGGTATTGATTTTGAAGAGTATTCCTAGATACCATGTCTTTCAGTAAGTGAAGTTTGCAGCCTTAGTCAAGTCTTGCACTGTAGACATAACTTCAATAGTTATGGTCTTAGTTTTCTGTGTATAATAACTTATTTTCCAGATAGGAAAAAGGAATTATGCCTGTAGAATCCAACATGGCCCAGGGTTACTTTCATTGTATGTCACTGTACAAGAATGCAGAAATCTGCATTATTTCTTTAGGATAAACTTGCCATTATGTGAAACATGAGTATCCATGCTTCCTGCCTGAAGCTGCTGCTCATCTTGCTTTTTAGCCAAGGCATTCCAGTCACAGACTGGGATCTGTTGTGTAAGGTGTTGTGCGTGGACACATATGGGCACCCCTGTATCAGTCCAGTCTTTATGGATTTTAAATTTCAGCAATGAAAATACAGTCCAAGATAGCAGCAATTGCAGAGAAAGAGGGCCAATGTTACTTGGAGTAGGCAGTGATACCTGTATTCTGGTAACTTATCACTTGTCATGTTTTTGGAGATCATTTGGGAAAGTAATGCTTTGTTTTCCATGGATGATGGAAAGATAAGGCTGGTGGGCATCTCTTCCTAGAACTTGTCTTAATTCTGTCTAACATGAAGTTCAGTAATTCACACATTTTGGTTGTTAGTGCCTACTGAAAAGGAGTATCCATGGTAATATGGTGTTAAGCTTATAGTTAGCCTTGTAGAGAACAAGTTCTTACTATTTTCTCATATTTTGGGGGTGAAAAAGAGGGTTCCCTTTTATGATCTCTTTCAGAAAGTCAGTGTTTTAGATCTTCAGAAATAGGATGATAGTATTTATTCCCATCTTTACCATCACACATGTGGAATGATTGGCCGTCAGCCCTTCCCGCTTCTTGCATGATATGTGAGCAATGGCACAGATGGATCTCTTTCAGAAAGTCAGTGTTTTAGATCTTCAGAAATAGGATGATAGTATTTATTCCCATCTTTACCATCACACATGTGGAATGATTGGCCGTCAGCCCTTCCTGCTTCTTGCTTGATGTGTGAGCAATGGCACAGATCCATGATGAAGTAACAGTGTGGGGGTAAGGAGAAAGAGCCAAGAAAGTTTGATTGAATTGCAGGAGGGGCTATGTGACTTTTAAAGGTCCATTCCAACCCAAGCCACTCTGTAAATATGAAAATTTATGAATTCATGAGAGATGAAATCATGAGAGTGGAAAACCGGGTGTGTGAAGACCAACTGGAGTTTGTCTCCAGTTTTAAAAATCCAGCCACTATGTCAGTGCCTTCAATGATGCTGCCACTGCAGCAATCTGCAAAGTCACCATTGAGAGGAGTACTCTGAAATTAAAAAAAAAAAAAAAAAAAAACCAAAACAAAAAAAGAAACAAGAATTT